AACTCTTTAACAGTGTAAACAACTCTGAATGCATGAAACAGCATTGTACCCCCCTCTTTAAGAACTGTATGCTTCACACATGTATCCTACTGCCTATAAAAGTCCTGGAAGTGAATGGATAAGAAGACTAGCCTGCTGATTAGCTGCTCCATAAATGATTTATTTGATTTGATTTATGCATTTAGCAGACGCTTTTATCCAAAGCGACTTACAGTGCATTCAGGCTATACATTTTTTGCCAGTATTGCCAGTATAAATGAGACTACGCTAATCCCTGAGAGAGAAAGAGGGGAAAGCCCCAGTCCAGATCTATCCCAAAAGGCCTAGCACACACCAAAACACAAACACACAAAGGCAGAATGACTGGAGCCAGCAGTCACCGCATCTCTCATTCAGTTTCTACCTACAGAGCCGGTATCTGTAACAGGGTGTGCTGAATGGACAAGGATCATATAACCTATGAACAGTGGAAATGTCAAAAAACCTGCCAAATCATCACTTCAGCAGCCTATTAAATCCTCTCTAAAGTGCTTGAAGGGTGAAAATAAAGCATCTGTAAAGGACGATTATCCTCTGTGGAGTTTTTCCTGGGGATGACAGCTCGGCCCAGTTTTCACTGTCCCTTTAAATCCTTTACAGCGGTGGCTTCCTACTGTTGCAGCAAATACCAACATGGACACGCTCACGGCTGATGTCAAAGGTGGAAGGAAGAGAGTGGATGCAGCAGAACTCCAAATGCAGTGTTGCATACTGTATTCTGTGCTAATTATTCCACTGTTGCATTATGGGAGAAAAACACTACTGAAAATACCAGCACAGTTGCTCACCAGTGTATGTTCTGCAAGATACAACACATTAAATGTCCCCGTTACCAGAGAGACTACACTGAGAGATGTGTCCTCCTGAGCAATGACCACAGCCCATGTGTTAGCCAATCAAATCACTCTCTGAGTTTTGGTGGGACTACATGTTTTGGCCAACTATGGAAGATGGGGTGTTTTTGGGAAATCTGTTTGGAAGTGTCATCAGAAATTGTGTGCAACAGTTTTTATCAGCAAAATTAGTTGGTCAACAAGCAATTAGTGTTGTCAAAAATATAGATTTTCTTTTTAAATAATATTGATTCTGAATATTTAAAAGTTTCAGTTGCGGTGCTTTCTCGCTCTCTCTCTCTCTCTTCACTTCGCTTTTTGTATTTTCATTTACTAAAGATATAGTCAGTTGTGCTGCATGTTTCAGAGCAAAGCGTGTCACTGTGTACATGCATGTAGCTTATGATTCTGTGTTTTCAGGGTCTCAAAAGTAGCTCGGTTCACAGTAAATGCAGCAAACTGCATCTCTGCCATGTGCTGCGAGTTTAACGTGCATTTGGGAATGCAGTGTGCCACTTACACTTCATTTTCACAATTTACAACAATTAGTGGACAGATGATTGTAAACCTGTTGTCACAGAAACTTAAAGTTCTTAATTAAAGGTTGAAGGATTAACTTCTTATTTTTATTATTATTATATAATCTCTCTCAGAGCAACTGGGTTTCAGAAATCTCAGACAGCGGACTTTCAGTTAATAATGTCAGTATTTTCTTTACTTAGATACCGTTCAATTGTTTTAGTTTCTGTGTTATCAAAAAAAGGTATCAAATATCAATATTTTTTAAGGTATTGTATTAAAGTTAGAAATTCCAGTATCGTGAAAACTCTGCAAGCAATACACGTTACGTTTGGTCCACCGCTAGTCTAGTACCAAACAAGCACTAACCACAGTGCTAGCAAAAAGTCATGGGTTCAATTCTGAGGGAATGCAAATGAATCTTGACTGCAAAAGTTAAGTCTCTTTGAATAAACTTGTCTGACAAATGTATAAACGTAAACAGTATTTTAGTCAGGAGGAAAGAGCATAAGAAAACCTATGATTCAACTAACTGAAAAATGTCCACTATCACATAACATATGATCACATCTGCGCTGCCAGGCTTAAACCAAATTGTGTAATTATAAATCACACAAATTGTGATTATAATAGGTGCTGAGTAACCAGCTTTCTCTGGTAAATTGCAGAAGTAGGCCATGACCACAGGAAGAGAGTGAATCCATCTCTGAGGCCAGGCTGCAGGACTTGCTGCGCAGAGGTTATGATGGTCCACTGAACTCCAAAGACTGCTGAGCGAGGTGCTACATTGAGCAGAGCACCCTGCTGAAGCCCAGAGAGACTGAGGCTTCTCAATGAGAAGATGAGAAAAACAAGATATGAACAGAAAACCATGAGACTGAGCTCTGTGGATAACCTCAGTCATCATCAGAGAGAGTGCAGGGCTGTAAATACCGCTGGTTACGATCGAGAGACTGACCTTCAGAGAGCTGGCTGAGCTCGAGGCTCTAGACGGACAGTCAAAGCTCTGCCCGCAAGACATCGACATTAGTCTTTTAAGATCAGCCGTCTCCAGGACAAAAACACAATATTCTTTCAGAGCCTTTGTGTTTCTGTGACTAAATTTGAAGCATTTGTTTCCAAATAAAAGATAAAGCAGTTAGCCTAGCGGAAGTATTTCTGCATAATCAACACTGAATATTCTGAAGTCTCCAGTCACAACATTTTAAGAAAATAAAACTGTTGTTTCTAGACAAAGCTTATTATTATTACAAAATGTTTATATATATATATATATATAATTTCATAAGTTTATTTTATTATACACACACTTTTTTAACATGTGAAATTATTTAAATATTTAATTATTTAATTTGAACTTACAATTAGGGCTGCACAATTAATCGAATTTCTAATCGCAATTACAATTATGATGCTACAATTACGTACTCGTTCAAAGCGGCAATTAATCGTTCAAAGTCCACTTATGTTATTCTGCATGCTTAAGATATGTTTTTTTTTCTTTCTACATGTTATCTTAAGGGTTTTTCCATTGTTTTAGTTTTAGAATAACATTATAATACCATTCATATTTTAAATTTTTTATAATTTAAAGAAGAAACCAATCCGATGTATAGTTGACATTTGAGGCTTAATACTATAGAAAAGCACGAAACGTTGTTCAGCTAGAGGGTTTTCAGCTTGTTTATTTTCATATAAAAATACGGCATGCAGTTGCATCAAACAATGGTATAAACATCATTCAATGTAAATTGTGATCATCTTAATTAATAATCGCAATTACAATTTTAAGGAAATAATCGACAATTATGATTTTTGTCATAATCGTGCTGCCCTACTTACAATTATTTAATTACTATTTTTTAAAACAATTATTATTTTACTTAAAATCTTGCTTTTCTAAAGTTTTGGGTTTGACAAAATATGCTTTTGGCCTTACTGTCACTACAATCAATAGACAAGTGCTGGTTCCCTCATTTTCCCACAGCTACTTGTAGGGAACTTCTCCAGGGGAAACAGTGTAAAGACATGACAGCCTTCATGCAGAGATCTACTTCAAAAGCCTTGTCTGTGACTAAAACTTTTGTAATTACTGAGTCATGAGTTCAATTCATCCATTTCCAGGATGGCCGCTGTGTTTCTCCCTTTTCAGTTTTTCCACACTGTGGCCAAGTGATTTGTTGTCACATATGATCTATGCTAACGCTCAGCTATCAACCAAACCACATCATTTCCAGGGAAGATCTACTCAATCAGATACAGATACATACACTATATAACAAATATTAACACCTCTTTATACACAGTGCAGCTCAGCAACATTTCAGCAACAGGATTTGTAAACAGATTCTGTTAGGATATGTTAGGTATTCTAAAAGCAAAGCACATAACCCCATGCGTCTGGTATTCATAAAAACAAAGAAACGGATTACTGAAAAATATTGACATTGAACACTTTCACAATTTGAACTAAAGCACCTGCCTTCAATCAATTCTTAACTAATAAAAGCTACTAATAATAGCTGACCCCAAAACTTATCTTGCAGCTCTTAAATAAATATTTCCCAATATAACAAACATATACTTCTAAAACGAAATAGATTTTTCAGCTCAAGATGTGCGTAATGAGTTTACTATCCCGCAAAAACACTCTGGAGCTTTAGTCATGTCACAACAAGCTCAATGTCACCAAATATGTTTCACAATAAAAAAAAAAGTTGATCATTTGAAATGGTTGCCACAATAAAATGCTTACAGATGGCAATGTTACATTTCTCTGATATGACTGAATCTTGAAAATGTTACAATTACTTGGCTGCCCTTAGAGCAATAATTCTTTTTTTTTTTTTTTTTAAATGTCATCATTGACCCACTCTCATCTCCTATCAAACCTGCACAACTTTCTTCCATAAAAAAGAATGATGATAGTCACCATTCACTTTCAATGTACAAAAAGAAGCAATGAAAATGAATGGAAACCGAGACTGTCAACTTCTTGCTGCTCCACAGCAGAAAAAAATCCTTGTTTGGAACAACATGAGGGCATGTGGTTTGGAACAACAAAATGATGTCAGTTTTCATTTCTGGGTGCACTATTACCTTAAATACTTGGTTTCTGAACTCTAATTCAAATGACATAAACAGCTCTGTATGATACACACCACTCGACTCTGACAGCGGACCGAGTCTCAAACCATAACGAGCTGCCAATAGTATAGCCTACCTAGACAGCATTTTGGGCATGAAAAAAAAAAACTATCTATATGAGATGGTCAAAATAGAACGTTCCAGAAGCGTCTATGATAACCAAAAATGGTGTATGTAGGCAGCTCAATAGGTTTTGCGACACAGCCACTGACACTCTGGCTTTGCAGTGTGTTTGGCTCAGCAACTTCACATGAGACAATCGGCAGTTTAAAGATTAGATCAATTAAAGGCACAGTCCCCGAACACAAAGGCGCCATGAACAATCCTAATGTTGTAAACAAGTTGTTTTGTGTAATATCTTCTCAGGCTGAAGCGGTCTGACTGGTTGCTCGTTAGCTGCACAGCTAGAAGGTCATTCGCAGTCGACTGAGAGAAATAATGAGCGCGTGCTCTATAAATTACCTTGTCACTGATGTTTTCAGTGCTGTCAGGATCTCCTCCTCCTCCTCGCCGCCTCAGCTCCGTCATTTTTGGCTTATTTCAGTCTAAATAATGCATAGATATTGTCGCAAGTCCGCGTTAAAATGAAGCGGAGCGGAGTTCGCGTCCGTCTCGGTAATCCGGTTAATTTAACCTACTGCGACCATCAAAGTGTCTCCCGCGGCAGGTGGAAGGACAGAGCCTGCGTGTATTTGTGTATGCTCGCTGATCTGCTGCTGATTTGTTTGTTAAGTGAGAGACCTCTCTCTCTCTCTCTCTCTCTCTCTCTCTCTCTCTCTCC